AATAACCTTAGGCCAAAGGTGGCAAACCCCGAAGCCTTCAACTGGCGGCTTTACTACAAAGATCAGCCAGATTTAGTTGAAATTGCCAGTTGGTAATTGCCTCCTTTTTTTTCTTGTGTGGCTGCAAATGAATTGGCCAAAAGTTCAAATGGTCAACCGGCCATTTGCTTGACCAAATGAATTATTGGTAAGGTCGAGACACAGTTGAATATCGAATTGCTTAAAACGCAGAACCCAAAACGAAATGGCAAAACAAATTCATTTACATGCACAACAATACGTCGTATTATTAAAGGCGGGCATATCATAATGGATTACCATAAATATGGTTATGAATGTTCTTTGGCATGCAGAACCTGGCATTAACGTCTGACTGCCAATTAGCGAATGTGGCCAGCTGGAGGGCATTGCGCATTCGAGCGTGTAGTCCAAGCGCCCAAGGCCAAAGGGGGCCGGGCAGACCCGATTATACAACGACCAATTTAATTGGAACATCATTGAAGCGCGTATGAAAAACAGAAACAAAAACAAAAACAAAACAAAAGTTTCAACTGAAACTTTGTATGTGGCATGCCTGAGGTCACTTCCAGCTGTTAGTTATTGTGCAATTATTTATCTAGAAATCTATGTACATGCTTTTTTTTTTTAATATTATTAGCAGACGATCTAATCAATGTGCAGCAGCTGCAACAACAACAACAACAACAAGAGCGAGCATAATTGTTGTTCTAATCAGCGCTGCAGTTGCCAACTGCATGCAAAGTTCAGGGTTAACGTGGGCTAAACACCTGCAGTTGCTATGCACCCGCATTTTATAATTGTAAGCAAATAGTAGCATGCGACTAATTAAAAAAAATAAAGTAGCTCTCAATTAAAATATTTATAATTATATGCATAAATAAATTGTTCTATTAATGCAGCAGCTGTAACAGTCAGTTCTCATTTAACGTTGTTTTAGCAGTGGTTGGCAACGCGTAAGACCACACAGTCTGGCAACGCCAAATACACACTGAGCCGCTGCAATATCGATATAATTGTTATCGAAACAGCTGAGCTGGTGAGACTGCCAACGCCAACAATAAATTGCAAATAAAATTAAGCTTTTTTGCACATATTGAAAATAATGGAAATTGCGGATACCTATTACAGCAAAGATGAATACGTTGAAACGGTGCGTGGTAATTATGTGCCACAAATATAAGCTGCAACTAATCAATTTGTTTCACTTCGATGACCTCATCAATTGTTGCTTACAGGCATCCGGCAATAAGGTGAGCCGCCACACTGTGCTCTGCGGCTCCCAGAACATTGTGCTCAATGGCAAGGTGATTGTACAGAGCGGGGCCATAATACGCGGCGATTTGGCCAATGTGCGTACTGGACGTTATTGTGTGATAAGCAAAAACTCTGTGATACGACCGCCCTATAAACAGTTTAGCAAAGGCATCGCCTTCTTTCCCATGCACATTGGCGATCATGTCTTTATAGGCGAGGGCGCTGTGGTCTCTGCGGCCATAATTGGTTCCTTTGTGTACATTGGCAAGAATGCCATCATCGTAAGTGGCCAGCTTAAGCTTTCCCAACTTTTATAAATCTTCTATTTATATGTATTCGATTGATTCCAGGGTCGCCGCTGCACGCTCAAGGATTGCTGTGTAATTGAAGATGGCGCCGTCCTGCCGCCAGAAACAACAGTGTCCAGCTATATGCGCTACACGGCCAAGGGCACCATCGAGGGCGGTCAGGGTAATCCGTATTTTGTGCCCGCCGCCATGCACGATGAGATGGTCAACTATACGAAGTCATTCTATGAGCATTTTGTACGCACACCGGCACCGGCCAGTTAAGCACAATTAAACACATAATTTGTTCACTCATAAACCAAACTAATATTAGGTATTATATTTAATAAAATCAACGACATTTTAGTCAATCAATCCCGTATCGCAGTCGTAGGCCTCGTCGGCAATTTCAAAGATCACATAGCTCATGCCAGTCCGACGTGCAATCACAGCGGCTGTCTCCTCCGAGTTATTCTCCTTGCGTGCCTGCAAATTGCGATCCAGGAGCAGCACAGTGGCCGTATTGCGGCAATTGGAAACGGTTGCCGTAATATGCAGAGGCGTCTGCTGGCCATCCGACTCGGCGTTCACATCGGCGCCAAATTGCAGCAACAATAGGGCGCAATCGGCATTGTTCCATTTGCAGGCCGAATGCAATGGTGTCCAGCCGAGTTCAGTGCGTGCGTTTGGATCTGCCTGATGCTGCAGCAACAGCTTGGCCATGTCGACGAAGTTGTTGTAGCAGGCGCGATGCAGGGGTGTGTAGCCATCGTTGTCGCGCGAGTGGACACTGTCCGCGTCCAGCTGTAGGATTTCGCGAACCTCGCTAATGCGATTCTCACCGACGGCCCACAATATCATGCGATCAATGCTGGCTGCACGTTAATCATTTAGTTTTCATTATTTTATGTATACCGTTGATTTGTACCTTGTGGATTTTTGTCCTCCTCGATGAGCTCGTCGGTGTCATCGTCCCAGCCGCTAACAAACATGCCGCGCGGCACCTTGGCATAGCGCAACTTCTCCACTTGCGATTTTTCATCATCTGAATCGTAGTCGCCCATAATACTGAAACTTTTTCTAAAAATGCCGATTTGTTACTTTCCAATTAATAAATGTTGTCTTTCAAACATATGTTTTGCTATCGATAGCACGTTGAAAACATCGCATTATCGATATATCTATGTTTCTCTGTGAATTTGCAACACTGCAAATGCTAGCAGCAAGAAGCAGCAGCATCGTTGTTATTTATTTTTCTATCAACGAGTTTTGTTTACATTTTGTTCGTGCGCGCAATGTCCAATCCACAGGAGGAGCTTTTGCCACCCAATGCCGAAGACGATGAGCTAACATTGCCCAGGGCCAGCATCAATAAAATAATTAAAGAGCTGGTGCCCACGGTGCGCGTGGCCAACGAGAGTCGCGAACTGATACTCAATTGCTGTTCCGAATTCATACACCTGATCAGCTCCGAGGCGAACGAGGTGTGCAATCAGCGCAGCAAGAAAACAATCAATGCCGAGCATGTGCTCGAGGCACTCGATCGTCTGGGCTTTCGCGATTACAAACAGGAGGCCGAGGCAGTGCTGCACGACTGCAAAGAGGTGGCCGCCAAACGGCGCAGACAGAGCACGCGCCTGGAAAACCTGGGCATACCCGAGGAGGAGCTGCTGCGCCAGCAACAGGAGCTGTTCGCCAAGGCGCGCGAGGAGCAGGCACGCGAAGAGCAACAACAATGGATGAGCATGCAGGCTGCCGCCGTGCAGCAGAGCAATGCGCTAATCCAGCGACAGCAGACGGATGCCACCGGCGGCGGTGGCAGCAGCAGCAGTGCAGGCTTCGTCAGCAAACCCAGTGAGGATGACGACGATGATGACGACGATGACTACTAAACACAGCTGCTAGTTGCAACGAGTTTATTTGCTTTGCTCTTAATGTATTTGTAATAATTTGTTATTAAACTATTGTCATAAGTCGAAACTCAGCTAATTGTGGCCTTCTCCTGCAGCTGCGCTTCAAGCTGCCTGCATAAACTTGTCGGCGCATGTGTGCCCGGCACATATTTGCCCAGTATTTCGGTGTGCTCTCGCCAGAACGCGGCGCCAATTAGATCCTCATGTATGGGCACTATCACCTGCCTGCCCTTATCCTGCTCGCCATCCTGCAAGAGCACCCGCTTGCGCAGCAAGATGGTGCCCTTGCGATACATGGCCGGCAGTTTGTTGTAGTTAATGCCGAACTGCTGGAAGAGTAGTTCATTTTTGTCGGCGGAGAGTGTGCCGCGTAGCCGCTCCTCGGCCTGTTGATTGGTCAGACCCGACTCTAGCACTAGTTTCCAAAATGCCGTATTATACAGATTATTCACATGAACATCCGCCTGCCGCCAGCTCAGATAATCGCGCAGATTCTCATCCGACGGATAGAGCACAATACGGCCATCGAAACAGGGCGCATAGCTCAGCGGCTGCTGCTGCATCCATTGTGGCCAGCTGAGCACATAGCTGCTGGAGAACATGCTCGTCACATAGCTGAGCAGCTTGGCGGCGCGACGCTTAAAGGCCGTCGTATCCTTGCGAAAGACAAACGAATATTCATCGCTCTGGCCGTAGCCCAGCACAATGTCCCGGAACTCCTGCATGACAGCGATACCGGCGGCATTCATCACATTCAGCGCTGCACGTGGTTACAGTTTTTTCCATTATTTATTATAATTTTGCAATTAAATTCGGGTAGCGTGCTCACCATTCTCATCGTTGGGCTTTTCAAATTTGTGCGCATTGGCAAATTTGTGAAATTTCTTGCCATCGATGCGTACCACAATCCACACATTTGGCAATATTCTATCGTCCTGTTCGTAGGACTTAACGTATTCATATCTGCTGCAGGCCATGTTGCGTCTGTCAAGCGCTATTCTGCTTTTATTCGTCAGCAAAAGTTTGAGCACAGCGCGATTAAATGCACGAAAATGCATTTAAATTATTTACTTTTGCCGCATGTGAAACAGGTGTTGGCAATGTGCAAGGTAACGCACAGATAAACCTCCATGTTAGCTGCATTGTTGTGACGTCACGAAGGCGATTATCACGTATGGTACAGATGTACCCAAACTGGTATATTGTATTGGCAATTTTAATAAATATTTTATGAACAAGTTCCTGGTACTAAAATTCATCTGGTTGTTTGGAAAAATTTGTAGAAACAACATAGAATTCGTCGATTGAAATTAACGGGTAAAATAAGTGTGCTGATCATAGTTTGCTCGATCCCGAGCCTCACGTATAATCAAAATGTATATGTTGTACTTTTTTATTTCTTCAATTACTTGTATGATTTCTTCACTACCTTTATTATTTTAGGCTCCTGAAGCAATCTAGACCATTGTACAACACTAGCAGATTTTTCAAGAGACGATAACAATCGATAGGCAACCTGAATATTTGAACAGCTGTTGCAGGGTATCGCGGCCAGATTTTCCATTATTCAGCGGCGGCCGCACAAATTTGCTGTGTGTTATAATAAAATGAGTGTTAATTATGAAAAAAATGTAATGGAAGAAGAATTTGCGCCAGTCAAATTATCAGACGATGAGGAAAGCGAGGGTAATGCCACCACAGAACCAAACGCGGCGACGGCAGCAACAAAACAGCCAGCGGCAACACAAAACAGCTCGGACAACGACGATGCAGAGGCAACAGCTGCCGTTGATGGAGATGAAGGGCGGCATTCAAGCGGCGGCGCCGCCAACACACATGTGGTCGCCCATCACTACAACGAGCTGAAGGAGGCCGGACGCAAGGAGCGTCACAAGTCGAAAATCTATTTTATGCGCAACTTCAACAACTGGATCAAGAGCCAGTTGATCAACGAGTTTATGGGGATAATCAAGCAACAGCAGCGCGTTGGTGATGCACTGCGCGTCCTCGACATGTGCTGCGGCAAGGGCGGGGATCTGCTGAAATGGGATAAAGCGCAAATATCGCATTTAATATGCACAGACATTGCCGAGGTATCGGTGGAGCAATGCCAGCGTCGCTACCAGGACATATTGCAGCGTGCCGAGAGATCAAAGTACGCGCATAAGTTCACAGCCGAGTTTTTTGCCTGCGACTCGACAATGGTTCGGCTGCGTGAACGCTATAAGGATGCATCTCTGCAATTGAATCTGGTCTCGTGCCAGTTTGCCTTTCACTATTGCTTCGAGTCGCTCATGCAGGCGGACTGCATGATGCGCAACGCAGCCGAGTGCCTGCAGCCGGGTGGCTATTTTATAGCGACCATACCGGATGCTTATGAGATTATAAGGAGATTAAAAGCGGCCGGACCGAATGCACGCCGATTTGGCAACGATGTCTATAGCATTGAATTTGAATGCAATACGGAGTCGTTGCCGCTTTTCGGCGCCAAATATCAGTTCCATATGGAGGGCGTTGTCGATTGTCCCGAGTTTTTGGTACATTTTCCAACTCTGGTCAAACTGGGTCGCCGGCATGGACTGCAGCTGGTCAGGCGCAGCACATTCGCCGACTATTTCAGGGAGACGATGTCCCAGGGCCGCCAGCTGCTGCAGCGCATGTCTGGCCTGGAATCGGTCCAGCCCCAGCGCTGTGGCAGCGATGACCAGTTCGAGCATGTGCGCCGAGTCATTGGCACACAGCGCTCTCGACCCGTGGGCACGCTCTCCAAATCCGAATGGGAAGCAACAAGTGAGTACCTAACAAACATTGCAGCGATCCAACTGATATAACTCATATACATGTATATATGTTTATTTTCAGCACTTTATCTGGTTTGTGCCTTCAAGAAATGCAAAAACAGCTGGGATGCCAACGGCAAGCCCCTGTTCGAATTTGATGACTGATGATTCCCATCAGATTTATATTTATAGATATATATATCTATCCGCATCAAATGTTTCGTTCAAATACCTGATTTTTTTTTTTTTTAATTTGAATTTACAACATACTCATCATAATCAGAGCATCTATTTTAAGTTGAAAAGTGTATTTGGAAGCTTTTAACGTCAATATAAAAAAGTTGCAGTTAAACAACGAAAACATTACAAAAGTATTAAAATGATTATCAAAAGTGCGAATGCATTAAATTAAGTGTACAAGCGAGTATAGTTATCTGCGTATAAGTTAAATATCCATGCAGAGATTTTCTATACTTCCACGTTAAAAATATTTAATACCATTTAAGGATCGTCATAATAATATCGGAATTGCTGAGTTTAATTAAAATATGTATATGAATAACCAAAATAGTTTACACAAAAACTGTTTTTCGGCTATATAGAATCGCAACAAAAAGACGTTGTTGTAGTTGACCTTTGTCAACATAGATTGATAAATATATAAAATGTATATATCCATTCATATCTAGTGAAATCGTTAAATAGTAGGGTTTTTAAAAAAGAAATGTTGACTTGTTAAGGGCCAGATCCCGCTCTTTCCCATAATTTTATCAACACTGGCCATATTTTTGTGCGGAATAGCAATTTGCACCTGGTTTGATCTCTGGAATCTAATCTAATCTAATATTTGTCAGATTTGAAAGAGATTTTATACCATTTTCTTATTTTGGGACAATAATAAAATTATATTTGAAATCATATATGACTTTTTTTAAGCTTTTTTTCTATAACGTTTTATATGCTTAGAACGTATATACTATTTATTTTAAATCTTTAAGTTAAGTTTCTTTTGTTTTACATTCGAACCAAGAGTTTCCGTAAAATGGGATTTTTCTGAAAATTTATTGTTCAACTCTCGTCACATAGACAATACCTGCGCCATTCTCTCTACATTTGAGCAGCTTTGATAACGAAGCTTTCGGCCAACGAATTTCGAAACTGGAAGTCCTTTTGGGCGATTACCGAAAGCTCAATGGAAGTACGAGGGGTATATGGACACGGACTTCGCGAGAGTGGGCGAGAGCGAGAGAGTAAAGAGAAAGAGAGCGCACAGCTGTTGCTTTCACAGCGACGGCGCCATTGAAGGACAACGGGCAAAGGTTAGTCCTGACGTTTACGTTGCCGGGTCGTGCCCGAGACCGTTTACCAAGTGTGCGAGCCCGTGCCTGGCATTCAATGCATCAATGAATTATTATAGCTCAAGTGTAAATAAATATTTGATAACAAAAACGAGAAGGTACGAATGAGTATGAGGCAAATAAAGGCATAAATTACGCCCATTGATTGGTTTCTGAAGGCAGCAAAACGGATAAATGTTTGCGTGTATGCGCCTGTGTGTGTGTGTGTGTGAGAGAGACAAAGATCTCAGACACACACGCACAACTTACGCTCTTAGTTATTTTTCAACTTACTCGCTCGCCCTCTCTCTCTCTCTCTCTCTCTCTCTCTCTCTCTCACTCCGTCTCTCTCTTGGTCCGTTTGCTTCTCTTTGTGTAGTGCTTTGCCCATCTTCAAGTTCTTGTCAGATAATTTCATTATTTAAAGTTTTGCTCATAAAAATAAACTTTGGGCGTAAAGTTTAAATTTGTTTTGCACACATATGCAAGCACACACCCACACATACACACGCTCACATTCACGTACCTGCATGTTGTTTACAACAGGGAAGCACGCGTGTGTGTGTGTATGTGTATGTCCGCTACGCTTTGTTTAAAGTAGAACGTGCGTATTTAGAAGGCAAACAACAAAACTGTTTACACACACAGAGGCACACGGCTCGGCTCGTGGCGCAGCATTGGCTCCCTCTTGCCTCTTGGCACCTGCTACCCCTCGCCCCGACGCGCTTTGCACTGATTGGCCCTAATGAATCTTTTTGTTACCTCCTCGTGCAGCAGCCGCCTGCGCATTGTTCCATGCGGTCTATGCAAATTAGTTCACTTTTAACCCAAATGCTCGCCATCAGGTTGCACAAAAAATTTGCTCCTGATGAAATTTACCAAAATGCTTAAAAAGACCAAATGGTTGATAATAAATAAATTTAAGAATTAAAATATCTTAAGCATTTTAAGCATGGTTTAAAATTCAAATTGGGCAAATATTAAAAAAAAAAGTTTATAAAATGTTGTTTCTTTTGATTTTGAATGAAAAATATATATATTTTGTAAAGTATATTTCCACATTTTATATATATAAATTGTTTTATTAATTTTATATATAAATAAAGTTTAAAACTCCCTATACTATCCGATCCCTATAACATACATAAGTTATAAAGTTATATGTATGTAGAACAGCTTTTGCTGACAATCAATTGGCAAGATTTTTTAAACTAAATTTTTCACAGAAAAATCACCCAAACGTGGAAAATTAGTGGAATTCAACTAATAATTTCTATGTGTTTTAAGCTAGGCGCCAATTGAATAAAAATAAAAAATGTTTATATTAATTTATTTAATTAATTTTATATTAATTTTATAAAAAAAATTGAATTAATTCGACTTCGGATCTAGATAAAATACGAATATGCAGTGCTTTGTAGGGGCCAAGGACTAATTCACGTATGTGCGAAATTTAGGTGGAAACTATATCCATTTAATATAATATAATAAAAAAATTTAACAAATTTCTTATAAAAGAAATGTTAAAAAAAAGAGGCAAAGTTCTTTCACAAAAATATAAATTTAATAATAATAAATTATGTTACATTCAATTTAAAAACAAACTCTTGTTAACTTTATTTTTAAGCATTTCTAGATAAACTAAAATATCAATTATCTGATATACTATGTTTGTCTAATCAATTTACTGACTTTTTCATGAAATTGGAATAACATTTTCTTAACTTGGAATAACATAAAACACACTGAAGCTGCAGCTGACAGGAACTAGGATATGGGTTAAATCATTTTGCCACAATGGCTTGTCGGGCTGCTGAGCTCTGCTGCAATATGTGTGACGTGCATTGTGTGTGTGGACGTGAGTGTGTGTGCGTGTATTGTGTGTGTGTATCTTTTGTGTGTCGTTGGCCACTGACAGTCGGCCAGGTGGGTAGGCAAAATGAGTGGCCTTCCATTACGTATACGCAGTGTGTACAAACAAAATACATACCGCAATGTTTATTTTGTAAGCCTGTCGAGGCAACCGAGCGAATAAGTGTCCGTGTGTCACTGTGTGTGTGTCACTGTGTGTGTGTGTGTGCAGCATATAAAATGCATATGTATGGGTGTATGTGTAACGGCTTGTGTTTATTCAACCGCATGGAACAATGTGAAAAACGCATGCCAGGCATTTGCCTTTGTTGTACCCCCTCTAGCCGCCGCCTGCCTCTTACGGCCCCAGAACGCTATGCTAAACTTTTCACAAGGATTGCCCCCAGGGCAAGGGCTCAAGGGGGCGCTGCTTAGGCACGAGGCGTGCAACAATTTAAAAAGATATGCGAATGTGTGCTAGGGCGTGTGTGTGTGTGTGTGTGCACAAGGACTAGAGGAATGAGCCGATCCGAGCTGAGCGCATGTTAATCTTTTGTGGTTCTTGTCCAAAAAGCAAACTTGAACTTTGCCATCAATGTATGAATGATTCATTCCATTCATGATTGATATGAATAATAACAGTGACGTTCGCAAAAGAAAAATAAGAAAGTTTCGGAAAGTTTTAAGAAAACAATCAGTTATCTGAGCAGCTTATGATGTCATATGTCAAATCAAATGCCTTTATATTTATATTCTGGTATTCGAAATTAAGCTTTCATTGAAATCAAAAAAGGATTTCTTTATGGGAATACTTCCATTCTTCAGATATGTATGTATATGTATATATTGATGTATGAATTATATGAATATGCATATGTACTACCAAAAATCCAATTAAAATAAATTAAACAAATAAGCCTGGGTTTTTTTTTAATAATAAGTAATAATAAGTATTTATTCACTTACCCTTATATTGTAAGTTTGTTTGTTAAACTTTTATTTTATTTATGGAAGCCTGCAGTAGAAAGCCAGTTGGGGAGTTAACGGCCTGAAACAATAATAATTAATTAAATATGTATGCTTGTTTATTCATATATATTCGTTTTATTATTTTTTTTTATTTACATTGAAATTTAAATACCTTACAACAGTAAAAATGATATATTTTAAGAATTTAAATCGGGTTTTAATATTATAAAATTATATTTATGATATATCATAATATAAACTCCAATCTATACTGAATTTCCTTTTGAAATTGAATGTGCAGTGTTGGAAAAGAATATTAAAAGAAATTGCGTTGGGAAATTTGGAAATTTTATATTATTTCTATTAAAATTTAAATATTTTAAAACTGCTAAAATTATTTAGTTTAAGAATTAAAAATTTAATTAAATTTAATCAAATTTTAATATAATATAATAATATTAATGCTACTTTATAATATAACCATAATCTGTTTTGAAATTGAAGTGTTTGAAAACAATGTTAAAAGAAATTAAGTTTAAAAATTTGTAAAAACTTCATATTTCGGACAATATATTTAGTCTAATTCTAGGATGTTTTTGGATAGGAATGTGATATATTTTACCGTAAATTGTATATTAATTCGTTACAATGCTTTGCAGCCCCCCTTAAGTTGAGTTTTCTAAGTGAATTAGTCATTTAGGTAAATAAGAAAGAATATCTGTGCTTGGATCCCTGACTAGTGTGAAGGAAAGCCAGGCACACTTAAGAGTTAATATTTATAGCATTTAATAATGATCAAAAAATTGATATGACAGGAATTTTGCTAGAGCAGTTGTCCAACTGATTTCGTTGCGTAGGCGATGAAACAACGAAAATGCGTTGAATCCCAGATCGTTAGTTAATAATATTATTAACTTAGCCCGTTGGCCAAAGTTAATTATAAGTTTATAATAATATTATATTTTTATATTTATATTTATAGTAATATTTATAATTTTAATAAAATATATATAATAATAATTCCTATACTAGTTATAATCTTAATCTGCACAATTAAAGTTATTATTTGTCTCTACCCTCAAGGTC